TACTGTAATTTAAAGTGTGGTGTTACGGAAGAAGTAAAGAATGGGTTGAGCTAGATCTGTGGTTCTCAAGCAGAGATGATCCTCGCCCCACCCACACCAACCCCACCCCAGCCCATTTCCATCCCTCTGGAGGACATCTGGCAATGCCTGGCTGTTTTTTTTGTTTGTTTGTCACAACTTGGGGGAGGGGTGTTACTGACAAGTACTGGTTAGGGCCAGGCATGCTGCTAAACATTCTACAATACACAACAAAGATTATCCAGCTCCAATTGGGTGTGTTTTTAAAAATATATTTATTTCAGAGAGGAATGGAGAGGGAGAGAGATAGAAACATCAATAATGAGAGAGAATCACTGATTGGCTGCCTCCCGCATGGCCCCAAGTGGGGATTGAATCTGCAACCCAGGATCTTTCAATCCACAGGCCGACGCTCTATCCACTGAGCCAAACCGGCAAGGCCCAGCTCCAATTGTTTTAGGGCTGTGGTTGAGACCCTGACATGGACGGTAGTATTGAGGATACATAAATTTAGGTCAGGATATCACAAACTCCTGGGACCATCCCAGGCCCAGTCAACTTAAAAACAGCAAATAATAAAAAATCCCTTACATTTGTGTGTAGTATACATATGCACATTTGGAGAGTGGAGAGGAATTAAGGTCTTTCACATTTAACTTTGTATACTTGTTTCTTGCTTGAATTTTTTTAAGCATTTTTTTAAATTAAAAAAATGAGAAAAGAACAGAAAGCACAAAATGCAGGTAGGTTGGAAGAGAGCCTTTTGTAAAATTACTGGTAGATTTCAAAGAAGAGATTTTGAAGCAATTGCCACACATGATTAGTAGGCCCTGATACCATCATCTGTGCTTAGAATCTGTTTATATACTGCCTTCCACATCTATTGGATCTTCTAAGAAAGAGTGACAGAGAATACCTGATATAAAGCCAGGCAATTATGCCCAGTACTTGGATTTATACCTTTTAGCTTTGTTATATTTGGATGTTAAGTTATATTGACTTCAGGGAAAAATAATAACATACTTCACTGTACTATTAAGTAAGGCCACCTAAGTGTTTCATAAACTGTAAAGCACACTACAGATTTATGATGAGGCCGAAAGAGGGTAAAGGTTATACTCAAATTATCTCTTTACTCTGTCTCCTTAAATCCAAGCCTCTAGGCAAAGGAAAAGGAGGACTGGGCTACAGGGGAAAAGGATGGGAAGAGAGAAGTGCAGGTTAGGAGAAAAATGATTACACACCAAAGTATCTTACCAGTTACATTATTCATGTAATTAAGAGATGGAGATAATCCTGATGGGGTCAATAAAGTCATAAGAGGGTATGAAAAGACGATGGTCAGCTTTCTTTAAGTAGTCCCAGCCCCCATGCCTGAGATGTGAAGAGATGACTATAAAATCCTTGTGCGAGCCTAGCAGTCTACATATACGGTTTTTTTAAAAAAAAATATCTGTCTCCCAGAGATTAGAAGCAAAAGGGATGGATACAAGACTGAGTGGGTTGGATCATCATTCCTCTACCTAGTACAGGGCCTGATGGAATTCTTGCTTAATCAATGGTTGTTGAGTAGACTAATGAAATACATCCTCCAATTACTCCCTGGACCTGACATCACAATAACTGGATGTATTGATACATTTTTTTTTCTGGCTTTTGTGCCTTTGAAGGGTTCGCAGCTGTGAAAAATAACTTTAAGAGCTCTGTTTCTTTTCATGGCCTTGAGACAGCTTGAGAAGATAAGACACCCATTGGAACGAGGTGTGCCAGGAGGGAAAAATAATAGTGAAAAATGTTTATTAGCAGACTTCTTGAGCACCAGTTTTCCAATTTAATTAACATTCATATGAACTCAGCAAATAGTATGTAGCACATGTAAAAAATTAATAATATACTTTTATTAATTAAAAAAATTTTAGCACTGGAAAAAAAATCTTGTCATTGGATCAGTTTTACAGAGAGGCCCTAGGTGGGCATTAGAATTGACAGAGTCAGGACTAAAACTTGCTTTTCCACCTTGGGAGAAGCAAATACCTTTAACAAAAAAAATATCCTAAGCAACTGCTGATTTTTCTTGCCTGTGTTTAGAATGAACCAACGTTTCAAAGCCCCAAACAAGTTTGGGAAGGAGCCTTTGGGGATGGGGACCTCCACCAGGGGGTCCAAACCCCAGGTGCCCCACCCCAGGTGCCCGGGTTCCTCTTTGGACCATCTCACCAGTTTTAATAATTGCTTTGATATTATGCGCTCCAGCAAACGGTGAGCATTGGCCGGATCTAGCCAGACCTCCAGCAAGAGCGTTTCAAGTTCCACTTTTTCCTCTTCGCAATTTGAAAGAAGTGATGTGCGCCCCTCCCCCCTTACCCCTAAAGTTTGTTTTCTAGCTATCAACTCGCTTCCTCTCTCGGTTTCCATCTCAGTTGCCAGAGAATCGCAGTCATTAGCCCAGTTCATTTAGACGAGAAGGTGCCTTTTGTGTACAGAATGAGAGCCATCGCGTGGCCAAGGATAACCATGTGGTAGGAGGAAACGTGTTTCTTTCTTTTTTTCTTTTCTTTTTTTTTTTTTTTCTGTCGCGAGCGGCTGCCAGCGGCCAGGAGGCGTGTTCGGTGGAGTGGCCGAGGCCACTTTCGAAGTTAGCAAACAAAGCGTCTCCCCAGTAACCGCCGGGCTCCAGACGCGGCTCCTGCCACTCAGGCCGCAGCGTGGCGGCGTGGGCCGGCCCCAGCTCCTCCTCCCGGCGTCTCTCCTCCCTCCTCCCCGTTCCCCAGCGGATGTGAGCCGCCAATCCCAGCCACAAACAAGCCTTCAAACGCTGGGACGGAGCGGCCCTCTAACGGGCGGCCCCCGCCCGTCCCTGCCCCACATCTGTCCCGCTCCCGGCGCGGCAGCTGATTCATCTGCAGCCAGGCCCGGGGAGGGAACTGCGCTCCAGCGAGCTGCAGGGGGCCTTCCCGGTGCGGGTTTGCCCCGGGACCAAGGTTGTCTGCTTTGTCGTTTCCGAAAGTGTGTTCTTTTAGGTGCTGATCAGTCGGCAAAACACCGAAGGGGGAAAAAAAAATCGTAAGGTCGCTGCCTGCTGAGAGTGACGCTTTTTTCCTTGTTTACTCATTTTAGGTCCTGTCATTGGAAAAACCACCCAAACTTTGTAAACTCTGGCCTCAATTCACTCTGCTGGCGGGGGTGTCTTTTTTTTTTTTTTTTTTTTTGAGGGTGAGTGTGGGTGGGAGGCTGGCTTTAATTGAATCCGAAAACAGAGGCTCCAAAGTCTAGTTAGTCATCGTTTGGCTGCCTCGGTCCTCGGGTTTAACCTTATTTCCACGGCGCTGCTCCGACCGGGCTCTCCATTGAGGTTACCAAACAAAAAGAGCACAGAGCCGAAACCGGAGGCCTGCTCGGGCGCTGACGTCTCTGCCGGGGTTATTTACGTTGGGGATTTTTTTTTCTTTTAAGTGACGGCGAAAGTCTCACTGTGGCCATGTGACAGTTCGTTTACTTCAAAGCAACAGGACACACACACACACACACACACACACGGGAAAACTCAGAGGAGGGGGCGGGGAGGGGGGGTCTGCGTTTCTTGGAATCAGCCAAACAGGACCTGGCCTTTGGAAAGGGTAATTTCACCAAGGAACTCCTGTTGTGAGTCTTTTTCCACCAAAACAACCCTACAGGAGCATGCCTTTTTTTTTTTTTGTCTCCATGACTAGTTTGAAACTTCCGATGAGAGAGGGGTTTACGTCTTAAAAGTAGACTTTCCCAAAACAGATGAGCAGCCCCGGTGTGGTCACCTCCTTTCCCTAAAGGCGGCAGCGGCCCGGGTCCGAGAGCGGCGGAGTCCGGCCGGGAGGCGGCGGCGGGAGGGGACTTTTAAAGAGCATGTGAGCATGACAAGTGTGCGCCGCAACGTGTTCGATTTCGAAACTGCCTTGCAATCCAGTCCGGAACTCGCAGCTTAGCCCTAGCCCGGGGGAACAGTCATTCTCCTGGGGTGTCTGCGTCTCAACCCCCCCGCCCCCCCCTGGCCCCGCACGGCCGCGGTCGGAGGAAGAGCCCCCGGAGGAGAAGGCCGCGCCGGCCGCGCCCCGAGCCCAGGGCAGCCGCGCGCTCGGGAAGAAGTTGGTTCTTGTCCCGAATACTTTCCCTGCGGCCCCGCCCCTGGAGCCCGAGCGGCTGTCTCCTCCCGCGGCTGGAGCCCGGGGCAGCTGTCAAAAACCGTGTGTGAGTGTGTGTGTGTGTGTGTGTGTGTGTGTGTGTGTGCGCGCGCGCTCGCCTTCCCTCCCGGGACTAGAGGAGAGGAAGGAGGGGGCGGCCCGAGTTCCATCTGTTGCCGTTTCCTAACCAAACACACCTCCGTGGGCCCCGGGAAGAAAGGCCCAAAGGAGAGAAACCCGGAGCGCTCGGTTGGGGGGCGGCCACGGCCCAACGAGGGGTGCGGGAGGCGTGCGCGCCGCGGGGAGGGAAGGGGGAGGCTCGGGTTTCGGGGCTCCGCCGCCCCCACCGGGGACCGGTAACGGCGGCCCCGGGGGCGCCGGGGGAGGCGGAGCGGCCGGGCCGGCGTGCATCCCTCCCCGGCTGCGAGGTGCGGGGGAGGGGCGGGGAGGCGGGCGGGGGACGGGGCGGGCGGCTGGGGGCGGAGGCAGCACCTCCTGTACCTTCCCCTCCTCGCCGCTCACTCTGACAGCGCCGAGGTGCGCCGATCGGGAGCGGGGAACAAAGGAGCGGCGCGGGGAGGGCGAGGGAGAGCCCCCGGCCGGCTGCCAGGCGATCCCGGCGGCAGGAAGCCCAAGTGTCACTTGCATTCCGCCCAAGCGGCGGGCGCCCGGGACCCGAGCGCAGGGGCCGCAGTCACTGCCGGGGCTCGTCCCGTACAAGTTCCCGGAGAGTCTGTCCTCGGGGCTGGAGGACAGCCGCTGGCCCCCTGCGCCCCGCTCCTGCCCTCGCTCCCCGAGACCCCCGCGCTGGAAGGGGGGAGCTCCAGGATGAAAAGCAAGAAAGGTAAGGTCCGCGGGCGGGCGCCCCGAGGGCGCGTGTCCCGGGGAGAAACGTGCGCGCCGGGCTCGGGGCGAGAGGGACTTGGGGGACCTGCCAGCCCCGTGGGCACCGCGGCCGGCCGGCCTCTTTGTGGAGGCTGCGTCCCCGCCAGACACAACACGGGGGGCCGCTGTGGGCAGACGGGACCTCCCGTCTCCACGCCGCTGGCACGTTGTCAAGAAACACGCTCGCCGCCTTGTTTGTGCGCCTCCAACTTTCATTGTCTCCGCCGGCGCCCCACGCTTCCCCGGGCGGCCGCGTGGCCTCTCGCTGAGGGTTCTCCGGGGCGGGGGGCTGTGAGGGCCCTTACTCCGGGGGTGCCCCCGCCCCCGCCCCGCTGTCCCCGGCGGCGGCCCGCAGCGCCTTTGTCTGAAAGTTGGGCTTGGACTCCGGGGTTCCCGCTCCCCCGCACCCCGTCCACCCCCCGAGCTGGGCCCGGACGCTCTCTTCTCTCTGGGGATGGGGGCGTTTTCACAACCAAAAAGGAGTGCTCCCCCGGCCCCCAGCTCGCCCTCGGGGGGTCGGAAACTTCGGGAAGCTAGCCTTATAGACATGCCTGGCCGCCAAACTTTCCCCACGAAGCGCGTGGGGCGAGGTGGGAGAGTTGGGACCGAGGGCGAGCGGCTCGCCGCGGTCTGACAAGCCGGCCGGGCTGTGCGGGCGAGCCTGTCATTGTTTCCACGAGCCGTTCTGGAAGCCTCGCAGCTGAAACTGGCTGTCAGTCTGGCTTAAAAACAAAACACACTAGAGAAAGAGAGAAAGGAAGGAAGAAAGAAGGAGGGGAGAAGAAAAAAAAAAAAAAAAAAGCCTGCCACCACGAAAGGTCAAAGCATGGTGGCTCCCCCTCTTGAGGTGAACTTTTGCGCCCCTGACGGGAGGCGCCCCGCACGCCCCGCCGCGGGCTCCCTGTTGTGATTTGGGGGGAAGCGGCGCCCACGGAGGAGCGGGCGGGGGGGGGGGGGGGCGGGGCGCGCAGGCGCAGACGCGCCCGGAGTTTCCGCGGCGCCGCATTCTTTCGGGCGGCCCCGCGGGGACAGTTAGAACCACTCGGTTAGAACGCGGCCGCCCCCGGCCCGGCCCACCCCGGGGTGCTGTGCTCTGGGCGGTGGCCTGGCGCCTTGGGGACTCGCCTCGCTGGACGCGTCCCGGTCGGGGGCTTTCGTGGCGGCTGGGAGCAGGCTCCCCGCTGAGCCCCGTCCGGGACGGTGACAACTCGGCGCCGGGAAGTTCGGCCACGTAACGGCGCGGGGAGCACGCGGGGGGCCGCCCCTGGAAGGCCATGTCTGCTCCGGGAGGACTGACAGGTCTGCATCCTTCCCAGGGGCTCTCCCGCGGGCGCTGGGACCCCCTGGGAGAAGTGGGGGTGAAGGGGGGTGTTGGGGGGAGGGTGGAAGAGTGGTACTTGTGAGCCCAAGGGAAAGCCCGGCGTCCGCGGGGGTCGGGCTCCCCGCATGGTTCGGGGTCCGGTGAGGGAAGCGTGGATTAGATCCCGACCTGCGCCCCCCTGCGCCCCCCGCCTCACTCCCCAAAGCCTCCCCGGTCCCCCCCGCCCCCACCGGCCGGCCGTTGGGTACCTCACCCCCGCCCTCTCCTGCCCAGGTGCTGCCGGGCGTCCCTCGCCGCGGTTCCCTGGCTCTTTAGGGTACCTTCCCGCCCCTTCCCCGGCAGATTTTGGGTTATTCCCCGCCCCCTCGCTCCCATTGTCCCTCGCTCGGTCCGCGGCCCTCGGGTGCCTCCGGTCGCCCCCTTTCCCCGCCGCCGGCCGCAGGATGGGGGTCCCGGGAGTCCTCCGCCGAGCGCCGGCTCCCGGGGACCCTGAGCGGTGCGGGGGCCGGGAACTTGGCGCCGGTGCGGGGCCGCGCAGACGGCTCGGGCTCTGCACCTTTTTAGGGTTTCTTGGCAAATCCTTCGGCGTGGGCAGGCCCCTCAGAATGTAGAGATTCTCGGCACCGTCTCCGGTTTCTTGTAACCTGAGACGCCCGGGTCCCGGCGGCGCTCGCGCTGCCGTTGGAGGGGCCGAGCCTCGTGCGGGCGGAGGACGCCGCCGCCGAACAAAAGCCGAGAGCGGGCCGCCCCCCGGCCCCCCCAGGCCCCGCCGCCGTCCCCCGGGCCGCCCCCCAGGCCCCGCCGCCGCCCCCCGGGCCGCCCCCCAGGCCCCGCCGCCCCGCGCCGGCTGCCTGAGGGGGGGGGGGCGCGTTCCGAGCCGCTTAGCGAAGGCTCTGGAAGACCCCCCCCCCCTCCCCAGGACTGCTGTTGGTCTCATGAAAGTCTGAACATCTTAATATCTTTTCAAGTTTTCTGGGAAACAAAGTCACCTCAAACCCTACACAGAGCCCGGGCTTTGTGATAATAGTGTCTCGTCTTAGAAAGCAGAGGATGCCCGAAGTTCTCCCCAAAGGGCTCCATGCCAAGCAGAAAGAAGGTTCCTTGAGAAAAAGCCCCCCAAGTCCCCTAGCTCATGATTTCTGACATTTAATAAAGGATCCTCCCTTTAACCTTGGCCTGTGGCTGCGGCCAGCCCAGTATCCCTCAGGCTGAGTTCGGTTCCTGTCCCTTCTGAGCTGTTCTGATCTGGGAGTTTTGCTTTTTCCCAATTGTGCGCCCAAACTTTTCCTCCCGTCATTCGAATCTGTTTCTAGGTTCTCTTCTAGATACACAAGCACTCTTCTCTGCTCCCTTTCGCACGCCCGCTCCTACTCAGAAATGAAAAGATTGCTTCATGGACCTGTGGGAGCCATAGGCCATCGTCTGGCTCGCTAAACAACATTTCCTTGTATGTGGATGGAGTAAAAGAGGCCTGTGATCCCACACCCCTCCCCCCCACCACATACTTTTAAAAAGTGTAAGCAGAGAGCAGGACGTTTGGAAACAAGTCGTAACCGGGAAACTTTTCAAAGGCTCTGTTACAATAGGAAATGAGTAACGTGGAAAAGTCTTTTTGTTTTTCCAAGCTGAGCCACAATCCGGAGGGAGAGTTTTAATGAAAATAGTCCTGACAGCAGCAAACGTGGTTTGCTGCAGTGAAATACCAGCTGGTGTAGCCAAGAAACTGAAGTCTTAACTTCCTGTTACTTCAGCTTTTGTGCACATATTGGAAATATTTGTTAAGAGGGCCAGAGGCCTGGCATTTATTTGTTTAAATGAACTGAGAACAGAGTAAAGTCGCCCTGCAGTTTGGTGTTGCTTAACTGAAACCTGCTTTTGTGTGTCATTAACCTATTCTAAAAGTTCAGGCTTCTTGTCAAACTTAAGCAGATCGAAGTGCAGGCTTCAGGGTCTTTTTGTTGTTTTAAATTATTATCGACTTACAGTTGAGAATTCAGTTTAATGAACAAATTTTCACAGTTTAAAAAAAAAATTATAAAAGGGATGGGAGATAACAGCTTTGAAAAGAATGTCTGGCTTTTCATACATTGAGAAGTTTAAACAAAGTTGCTTTAGTTACTCAGGTATTTAAAAATTAGAGTTAAAAAGCTAGATTTCTTTGCAAATATAAAATGTACTTAAATATTTATTAAGTTTTTAATTTTTATGAAGAACTCTTCACCCAAGTTTTAATATGGGTTTAACATTTTTCTCATCTTTTCAACAGTGAAAGCAGTTTCAGTTTTAAATGTACCTCTTTTTTTTTTTTTTTAAGTAGTTTAATGGGCCTTGGTAGTGGGGTAGCTCAGTTGGTTAGACTGTCACCCCCATACTCCACAAGTTTTGGGGGTTCCATCCCTGGCCAGGCCACATACAAGAATCAATCAAGGAGTGCATAAATAAGTGGAACAACAAATCAATGTTTCTCTCTTTCTACCCCTTCCTGTCTCTCTAAAATCAATGTTAAAAAAAAAAAGGCAGTTTAATGAAAGCTTCTGGGAAGCAAAACATCAAATACATGGGGTTAATATTTAGGATTCTTCTGTGATTGGTTTATTGATCGCTGTTTATTAAAGGCTTGAGCTAAAGTGAATTTGCAAGATCATCCTGCCTTTTTTTTTTTAAATTAAATTTATTGGGGTGACATTGGTCAATATGATCATACAGTTTTCAGGTGTGGGTTTTTGTTATTCATCCTGCTCTTTTGTTAGAACTTGGTCTACTTGGTCTTGGAAAGGTCCTGCCTTTTTTGTGGACACTCCAACACCTTCTGCCCCCTGCAGTCCAAAACTAACCATGTGTCCCAAATAAAGTCACACTCAACTAACCTGGTATCTCATCAGCAAACCTTTGAATGGGTAGCTCTTTGAGTTTCATTGTGTTAAGAGGCTTTAAAAGGATGTTTTTGTTTTTTAAATCCTCGAAAGTACATTGAGTAGCTTATCTCTGTGAGGAATATTCTGTTTTTATTTCCTATCCAGGTAAACCACTCAATTAAGTTTGCATCAACAAAGTTAAGAATGCATAACTTTAAATTTTGTGTTAGTTTAATCAATTTTCTTTATGTAGAAGTATTGGTATGTTCGAGCATGCGCTAGTTTATGGTTCATTTATATCCTTAAAATCTTAGATCAATATGTTCTAAAAATTGTCCATGTTCTTTTGTGTGTGTGTGTGTGTGTGTGTGTGTGTGTGTAGGCGTGCACGCGTGCATTTGGGGGGAGTGTTTAATAGCATATAAAGTTCTAAATTCTGTTTAAATGTCTAAAAGGGCGAGGTCTAAATTTTTGTTGAACCCAATCTGTGTGTGTTTTGAATGTCCTTTAATGGTTTGTGAATTCTTAATTTCTGGTGGGATTAAAGTACTTACAGACAAGATATTTTCCTTTGGGATTGCATATTCAGGGTTGTTGTTTTGTCATGTAAATAAGACAACTCTGCTTATTGACACCCCATGTTCTAGGTTCAGATTAATCTGGCAGTAGAAGTTTATATGAAATTAAAATTTTTATTCACTTAAGGCATCTTTGACTAAAGCTTATAGAATTTTTTTGTGCAACAACACTGAAAACTTTATTGATTGTATTTTCTAAAAAGTGATCAGTGCTGGCCATTAAAAATGGTGTTGAATAAATGTAAGGAGCCATGAAAAAGAAATGACTATAGAATAGGCAGGAACTTTTGACATGCATTTTATCTTTAGAATACTAACTGGGTTAAGGGTGTAATTTTCTCTCCTTATATCAGTGGAAAAAAAAAGTAGAGATACTTACTTTTTATTTCAAACCTTCGGGGAAGGAGGAAGAATAGCATTTAAAATGTACAATAGAACATTCATTAGATTTATCCTAGATAGCAGTGACTTCAAAGAGGTTGTTAGACACATTCCATCTGTTATAGCACCTTTCCTGATGGCAAGCTGTTACTCCCTTGGGGTGGGGCTTTGTCTCCTCTGTTGGATTGCGTGAAGGACTTTTCTGAGTATCCTTCCAAAGGAATGTGAAAAGTTGAATCATAGGAAAGTGGGCCTATCTGACAACTGGTTGAGAATCTAGAATGTGCTTCTAGTCAAATTACTCTTGAGACTTTACATGTGCTCTGGTATTTCAGGACAGAAAACACTCACTGGTCCTTCCCCTGCCTCTCAGTAGTTGAGAAAACATGTTTACACTGAATGGTCAAAAGAGATGAGTTTTTCAGTAGGTACTCTGCTGATGAAATCGGCTGACTGGCCTTTCTTCTTTCCTAGGTGTTGTAGCCTCCGGCAGTGAGACTGAGGATGATGACAGCATGGACATCCCCCTGGACCTTTCCTCTTCTGCCGGCTCAGGCAAGAGAAGGAGAAGGGGCAACCTGCCCAAGGAATCTGTGCAGATTCTCCGAGATTGGCTGTATGAGCACCGGTACAATGCCTATCCCTCAGAGCAAGAAAAAGCATTGCTATCCCAGCAAACACATCTATCTACACTACAGGTAGGAAAAAAAGAACATGAGGTATATGCATTCAGGTTTCTTTCTTTCTTTTTCCCCCTAAAGTCATTTTATAGCATTCCTGTATGCCAAGTCATTAAGTGCCTCCTGACTCAAAAGCTTGGGGTGGGAGATATCTTTTAAACTTTCTAGTGCTGATAGCTAATAACTGGCTATTTAGAGAAACAAACACTTGACAGTCATCTGTCAAATAACATTTCCTTTAATGCCTAAAAGAGCCTCCCTTTGTGTAACAGTCATAAAAAGGAGGTTAAATCTTACTCTATTACCCAGGAAACTGGTTTGATATTTAAACAAGGACAGACCTCAGTGAGGTAATTCATGTCTGTCTGTTGACACAGTGATTTGAACTGAGAAGAATCAGTAACTTGGGGGCGTGGCCCTTTTCATACAGGAAAGATTTTCCTGTAGTTGATTAACTTCAATGCTGGGGCAGTAGGTAATCGGTTAATATGGGGGAAAGTCAAAAGGTAAATCTCCTTCTCTAAAGTAATGTTTAGACATTTGAGAATTTATACCTTTATTTTCCTCCTGAGAAGGTTTATGGATGATGAGACACAAAAGGGAATTTGTATTGGAGAGAAGCATGTTTATGATAGGAAGCAGTTTTCTTTCTTGTCTGGGCTCGGATACGTTGGAATAACTTTGTAATTTCTGATAAGTCTTTTCATGTCTTGTTAAATGCAAAGAGATAATTAAGCATCTATGGAAGGTTCTCAGAACATGTATGCTGAGTGTTAAAGCATACCCAAATCATTTCAGGTCTGTAACTGGTTCATCAACGCCCGCCGAAGGCTCCTCCCTGACATGCTGAGAAAGGATGGCAAAGATCCAAATCAGTTCACAATTTCCCGCCGTGGGGCCAAGATATCTGAAGTGAGCTCTGTGGAGTCAGCAATGGGCATCAAAAACTTCATGCCAGCTCTGGAGGAGAGCCCATTTCATTCCTGTCCTGCTGGACCAAACCCAGCCCTAGGGAGACCACTGTCCCCTAAGCCGTCATCTCCAGGATCAATCCTGGCTCGTCCATCAGTGATCTGTCATACCACTGTGACTGCATTGAAAGATGTGCCTTTTTCTCTGTGTCAGCCAGTTGGTGTGGGACAAAACACAGATATACAGCAGATAGCAGCCAGCAACTTTACAGACACCTCCCTCATGTACCCAGAGGACACGTGTAAAATTGGACCAAGCACAACTACACAAAGTGGGCTTTTCAACACTCCTCCCCCTACTCCTCCGGACCTCAACCAGGACTTTAGTGGATTTCAGCTTCTAGTGGATGTTGCACTCAAACGGGCTGCAGAAATGGAGCTTCAGGCAAAACTTACAGCTTAACTATTTTCAAGCAAAACAGTTCTAACAAAAGTTTTGATTGCCGGGATGATGGCAAGAGATAAATCGCGTTATTTTATATATTTTTTTATTAATATTTGCACATGGGATTGTTAAAATGAAGCTTCCTGTTACTGAGATGTCTTCAATGGAATACAGTCATTCCAACAACTATAAACTCAAAGCTACTGTAGAAACAAAGGTTTTTTTTTTTTTTTTTGTTTTTTAATGTTTCTTGGTAGATTATTCATAATGTGATATGGTTCCCAAGATTATGTGATTTTTTTTCCCCTCCCTCCCTCCCCCCTTTTTTTTTGTTGGTGTTTTTTCAGACTGTGCAATACTTAGAGAACCTATAGCCTCTTCTCATTCCCATGTGGAACAGGATGTCCACATACTGTCTAATAAATTTTCAAATTTTTTTCAAACAAGTATGAATCTAGTTGATTGATGTCTTTTTTTCATGACACAATAAAGTATTTTCTTTAAAATTTACTGTAACAGACTGTTTTTGTTGAGGGAGGTGCTTCTTAAAAGTGAGTAGGAATATATCACGCCAATGAGAGGAAGTTGGGGGGTTGGGCTGAGTGAGTTGGGGGGTGTCACCAGCTCTTTGAAGAACCTTGGACAATAAGCCAGTATGTATAAACAGGATGTGTGATATTTACTCTCAATAGGAGGCATAAAGCTTTACTTAAACTGCAGGGCAAATTGAAATGAATCATCCCATCAGAGTTTAGCTAACCACTCAATCCCTTGGTAATCTGTCCTGCATATTTTAAGACATGGCCAGTATTGAAAAGAAAGGACTCAAAGCACCTGATAATGGCTTAAGTTTCCAGAAGTAAACAAACCAAACAGTCTCTTAATGTTACCCCTTTTTCATGTGACCCTTTAAACTTTTATTCTTTGGTACAGTTAGATGAGGAGTTTACATTCAAAAACAGCATTATTTGTACAGAAATCACCTTTTAAAACATTTTTTAAAGTGATTAAAACAGAGGTTCTATTTTTTGTGGGCCTGCTAACTAGGTTCCTTTTCTAAGGTCACAGTTTGTGAGAAAATGGTGCCATACGCAAGCGGAGTTTGTTGGGATAGATGTTACTTATGAAGCCAGGATGGCCAGAAGGGAATTGGTGGTGTTTCTTTCACTTACAGTTGAGCAGATTTGTCACATGCCACAAAACCATTCTTTGTAGTCATGCTTAGTATGAGGTTTCTTTTGTTATGACACTCATGTTTTTTTCTAGCCCTGACCCAGCTATGCATTGTCTGAGGAAGCCTCAGAGCTTCAGCATTGTTTAAAGAATATAGAAAAATTCTACCAAATTTAAGTTTGTAGAAACTAGAAAGTCCCTACGTAGAAAGAGCTAAATTCCAAGACTTTTTGTAAATGAAAGAAAACTTACAACCAGGAGGTGTAAAAAAAAAAAAAATAGGTGAGGAAAAGGTGTGCTGTTATAATTTGGTAAGAGCACAGGCACATCAGCCTCAAGTGATCTGATTCCCACCTCAGGGTCACATAAATAGATAAAACAAATAATACATAAAAAGGAACAAAACAAAAATGAGATGGAAGTGATTGAAAATCATTAGTTGCTCTAATAGCTAGATCAAAGGCTGAGAGACTTGGAGTACAGATAAGGGAGACAAGCAAATCATAAAAGGCTTTTCCCAGTTAAGATGTTTTATGAATCATACCAGAAGGGAAAGAAGAAGCCATATGAGTGATTAAAGAAAATGTCAAGGGTCAAATGAAAACACAAAGGTTTAAGAAAAAAAATAACCCCAAATTGCCTGTTTTATTTTTTTTCCTCTTGAAGTTGATTATCAATGTAATTAGAAGGATAAATATATTTTTAAAATTTTTAAGTCTAAACAAGTAGAAGTTATTTTATGCTTAGTATTTGTATTTAACATTTGTATATTTTTCATTTGCTTATTTTTAACCTTTTTTGTTTAAAATTCATCCCTTTTAGATAGCATACATTTGGCTCTTTTTTTATTTAGCCTAGTCTGCCTTTTTTACTTGATGTGTTCAGTTGATTTACATTTATGTAATTATTGATATGTTTGGATTTATTTACCATTTGGGTTTTTTTTTTTTTTTCTTCTGTTACTCTTTCTACCTTTTGGGTTACATGAATATTTTTAGTATTTTGGTTTTACCTTTTCTATTGGTTTATAAACTATACTTTAGTTTTTAAAAAAAATTTTGTTCAGTTACAGTTTAATGAACAACTACTAAAAGGGGTTGCTCTGGGATAACAATATATATCTTTAACTTATTGTAATCTACTTAGTATTAATATTTCAATTTCATATATAACCTTCCAACAGTATAGTTCCATTCATTCTCCTATTTCCCTTTGTGTTCCATATATATTATGGCTACATGATAAATCCAACAGGGCAATGTTATCATTTTTCCTTTAAACAGTTAAATGCATTACAAAAAGAGAAAAGAGTGTACATATAGTCTTATTTGCTAAATATTTACCATTTGTGAGGTTCGACATTTGTGTCAGTCCAAATTACATGTCATTTTGCTTCAGCTTACAGGAATTTCTTCAGACTTGTGTGGGCTTGTGGTGACAAATTGTGTTTTTGTTCATTGAAAATATTTTATCTTTTGCCGGCACCAGTTTGGCTCAGTGGATAGAGCGTCGGCTTGCAGACTGAAGGGTCCCGGGTTCGATTTTGGTCAAGGGCATGTACCTTGGTTGAGGGCACGTCCCCAGTTGGGGGTGTGCAGGAGGCAGCTGGTTGATGACTCTCTCATCGATGTTTCTAACTCTCTGTCCCTCTCTCTTCCTCTCTGTGAAAAATCAATAAAATATATTTTAAAAAAATATTTTATCTTTGAAAGGGTAGTTTCACTAAAGATAGAATTAGGGGTTGATAATCTTTTAAAGTTTTTTCACTATTGCATTTATTATCTTCTGGTTATATTGTTTTTTAATATGTTTTTTATTAAAAAATATTAATGTATTTTTATTTATTTTGAGAGTGAGAGAGAGAAAGAGAAAAACACTGATTGACCACCTCTTACATGCCTCCTACTGGGGATCCAGCCACGTGCCCTTACCCAGAATTGACCAGCAACCTCTCTGTTGATGGGACAATATTCAACAAACAGCCCCACTGGCCAGGGCTGGCGTCCACTGTTTTTGATGAAATAACAGTTGTCTTATGTATCATTCTTCTCTTGTACATAATGTCTTTTTCTCTGGCTCTTTTTATCATATTTTAGTATAATGCTTGAGGTTTGTTGAGCTGCTTAGCTCAGTAAGTTTACATTTGGGAAGTTGTGGCCATTTCATTTTTTTTTTTCCTGCTTTCTCCTAAAATTCCAGTAGATTTATATTAGATCACTTGAGATTGTCCTACATGCCTCTAAGGCTCTTTTTTTCTTTTTCTTTTTTTTTTTTTCCCCCAATCTTGGCTCTCTATATGGGTTGGATCATTTGTATTTGTTTACTTATCTGCACATTGAAATCACCTGGAAAGCTTTCCAAAAACCCCACAAGAACAATGGGATGGGTTTAGAAATTTTGAAATGCTCCTTATTGCATAGGCACGTTTAGGAACCACTGTCCTAAATAATTCTTTAAATTAGCCATTGTTCTCTTCATAAGTAGAATATTAGGAGTCTCTTTCCAGACAACATTTTTGTTTTTGCAGTTTTTTCCTTGGGGCATCTTTGTGAAAGAAATGTAATTTGCTGTAAAGTCATCACCCAAGTTAATTTATCCAGTTAGGTTTAATGTAAATTTGAAAGCGGCACTGAGATTATCCTATAGTATACATAAAATCTATATAATATGTAAAGCCAAGCCACTAACAAATAGGTCTAACACTGCAGGAAGGTAACATGCATTAGTATCAAACCAAAAAAATAAACTTTATCTCTGGAAACTGGAGTTAAAAACAATGCTCAGAGATCTAGTGTTTGGTCTCCTTGGGCTAATTAAGAGGAGAGTGTTATAATTCTGTTACTTTAAATTTCTTCCCAATGATTTTTTTGCTTGGAAATTTGATTGCTTAAATCAGTGGTCGGCAAACTCATTAGTCAACAGAGCCAAATATCAACAGTACAACGATTGAAATTTCTTTTGAGAGCTACATTTTTTAAACTTAAGATTCTTCTAACACCACTTTTTCAAAATAAGCTCATGCAAGCTGTGGTATTTTGTGGAAGAGCCACAACTCAAAGGGCCAAAGAGCCGCATGTGGCTTGAGAGCCGCAGTTTGCCAACCACAGGCTTAAATGATTGTGTGACAAGCAAGTGTGTGTGACACATTTTCCCATCCCGCCCAGCCTTTGGATATAGGAAATCTCCACAATGTGGAAGACGGTGTGTTTTAAATTATCTAATCAACCGAAACCGGTTTGGCTCAGTGGGTAGAGCGTCAGCCTGGGGACTCAAGGGTTCCGCGTTCGATTCTGGTCAAGGGCATGTACCTTGGTTGCGGGCATATCCCCTGTGGGGGGTGTGCAAGAGGCAGCTGATCGATGACTCTCTCTCATCGATGTTTCTAACTATCTCTCTCCCTTCCTTTCTGTAAAAAATCAATAAAATATATTTTAAAAAAATAAATATAAAATGTGGCTGCTGGGGAATTTAAAAACAAATAAATAAATTATCTAATCAATAACCTTTCCCATTGTAATATCATTTATTATCTATAAACCCGTATTCAAATGAAAATGTTAGAGTCATTTGAAATGGACAATATATAAAATTTATATAATATTTTGTACTCTATATTTTACTATTATATTGATTGAACATTTTATATGCGTATCTCCCTTAATCCTGATGAGATGCGACTCCCATTGTGTATCTAAGGAAACAGATTCATCAATGTTCAGCTTTCCTGGTTACCAGTTGCAGTAGAGCCCACATCCATGGGGTGATTCTGTAAGCTTACACTTCTACACACTATGCCTGAAAGGAGACAGTTTGGAACCATCCCACATTTATTACCCTGTTCAGTA